AGGGGAGGGTGGGTGGTCTGGATATGGAAGGATTGTCCGTGATTTTTGATGAGGAACTTGTGGGATTAATCCATTACCTGTTGATTGGCAACATCAAAGAAGTGGAAAATTATGGTTTAATTATATTGTCTGTGAAAGCGTGGCAGGGTCCCGCTATGCTCCGCTGCCTTTGTTTCATTTTATTCTTTTCTTTTTACAAACTGTTCTTTCAAGTGTGTTGTCCCTTTGGATGTGGTTCTGCAAAATGTTGTTTTCATGCTCTGTGATGAGTGGAATGCGACACAATTTAGCTAGTTGGTTGGTTGGTTGGTTGGTTGATTGATTGATTGATTGATTGACTAAGTTGATTGGTCTTGGAGCAGGGTTCAGTCAATTGCTTGGTTGGTTGGTTTGCTTGATTGTGTGCTTGCTCGATTCTGCGTCCCTGCATTGCTTGATTGGTTGATTGCTTGCTTGATTGGTTGATTGCTTGCTGGGTTGATTGTTTGCTTGCTTGCTTGCTTGGTTGATTGGTTGCTTGCTTGCTTGCTTGATTGCTTGCTTGATTGCTTGCTTGATTGCTTGCTTGATTGTTTGATTACTCCGACTGCAGTGGAACTGATAATGCGAGCCTCCTTTCGGATGGCCTTTGTCGTGACGGTGTTTTGACGTACAGCTCCCACACTTGGCGACTTCTTATGCTGCGGTCTGCACCCTTGTTACAATTGGTGGCCGCAAAGCACTCTCAACCGTTGACAGGTATATATGCCCTCTCTCTCTCTCTCTCTCTCTCTCTCTCTCTCTCTCTCTCTCTCTCTCTCTTTTGATAGAATTCTGTTGGAATCCATTGTTGATATTGTACTGTGGATATCCATCCATGTTCGTACGCCTGTTTTTGCCTTTCAAGGCGGGATGATAGGGCTGGCTGTGTGGGCTGAGATCATGATGAGCGAGATGCTCTCTTTCTCTCTCTCTCTGTGACTGTGTGGATGGATCTGATGATCGAGATGTGCACGGAAGTTATCGGCAAGCCATCTGTGAAGATGGGTGGGGAGCGTTTCGCTGAAAATGTATTTGATGGTTGTCTGTGTTGGTGGCATTCTGACACAGGAAGAAGATGCTGGAATTTCTGATGCGCATGAAGACACCTTCGGGGGGCTTCAGGTTTGGACATTCTCGATCGAGATTGAGAGTTATTTGACTTTAATGAAGACTCGCCCTGTTAAAATGCAAGGTTACAATTCTTTCTTTGCTGCTCAGTTCACATCAGCATTAACGTTATGTCCTTGTCAATCCATGCATGGCCGCCGTGGCTTAGGCCCTACTCTTTCCGTAGCACTTGCCTGGTGTATCTGATCGTATTTGCAGGTTGATTCTTTTCGAAGAAGTCCTAGTGTGAGTGTGACCCAAGTGTATCGGAATGTAATGGCATGGAAATCCATGTGCAGCCGATTTCCTTCAGAACTATGCCGATTTCCAATTAAAAAAATTATGTGAAATCCATTGAATACCAACCATCCATTGAATACCAACCATGTGCTGATGAGATCGGAGTCAACGGACAGCTGCAAGCTGTGTCTTAGACTGCATAGTTTCGTGGACTTTTTTGGCTGTAATTGGGGCCAGATTCCATCAAACAAATCCACTATCTTTTCGAGTCTCAGGTACTTCTCAGGGTCTTTGCATTGGGCAGCTTGGTGGCAAAATGTGTGCTGTATTTTATCATCGTCTCATCGGGTAATACATGGTTTCCATCTTGATTAGCAGATTAGCAGCGGCACAAAGTATGTGATGCATGTATGTACGTGGCCACATCTGTGTTGTATGTTGTTGTCGGACTATATGTAGTTCCATCGTTTCGATTAGCAAATTAGCTGCAGCAATGATTAGTAAACTAGCCCCGGCAAGAACTATGTGATGCTATGTTTGGCCATGTGCTGGGCTGTAACAGTGGGCACCGTACCATTGTAAATTAACAGCAGCACGAAGTATGTGATGCTATGTAAGTATGTGGTCATATCTGTGCTGTACTTTGTTATTGGGCTATGTGTAGTTCCATCGCAATTAGCAAACCAACTGTAGCAAGAAGTATGTGATACTTAAGTGCTTAGTATCACAAAGTATGTGATACTTCCCACTTAGTATGCAATACTTCCCACTCAGTATGTCATACCGTGTGCTGGGCTGGGCTGTGACATTGAGCACCTTACTACAGGTGCCAGCGGGTGGTCGTCATCATCGTCAGCATAGAAAGTGACTTCGCATTGCAAATAAGCAAACTGAGCAGCCAGCTTTTCGGTATGGCCTCGCTGTTGGTACGCTGTGCTGCATTAGCATGAACCTGGCAAGTTTTGCGACCAGGCTCATGATTTCTGAACGTGAAGATAGCACCAGTTGGGCCCGTCCTCGAGTAGGACAAATACGTGAATTAGTAGCTAAATGTGTGCGATAGTGCAGCTAAGTAAATTAGCCGCAGACTTTGCAGTGCATATGTGTATAGTATTTTCTTGTTGGGCTATATGTGGTCTCATCGTGCTTAAAGCACAAGTACACGGCCCCAGCCTTGCAGGAAAACATCTTGTTGCCACAAGATTGTTTTTGTGGCTAGGGCCTACCGGACCACACAAGGGCTGGCGGCGCCAGCCAAAAAAGAAAAGAAGTGCCACGCTGGCAGTTCGGAAAGTGCACCGCTGGCAGTTTGGCAAAAGAGGCCCGGGTGTACTGGTGGTTAAACAAACCAAAGACGGCAAGAAAAGTATGTGGTGCCAAGTATGGCCATGAGCTGGGCTGTGTAGCAGCGAATATCTCAGTAGCGCAAAGCATTGCGACTGGGTTGTCCTGATTTACATCGTAATTAGTGACTTAACCACGTAGCCGCTTGACACAACACTGCAATTAGAGCAGCAGAGTCACAGACCACGATCATGATCGGTGACTTGGCGGTTCATGGTCAGTGTGACTAGGCCCCACTCTGTTAATTACTTTGTGGCTATGGTGGTACCGATCGGTGCTGTACTTGCTGCACTTGCTTCCCTGCAGATCTGGGGCAGGCCGTTGCCCGTTTGGTGCTGTCATATGGAAGTAGTAGTTGCGGTCAGTGAAGAATCCACCCATAGCTTACGCTGGCTTCTTTTGTCTTCGGTTTGTTAGACTGTGTTTCCAGCTTTCTAGTCTTGTGATGCAGTCACATGGTTGGCAGTTGTTTATGTGATGTTGAAGGTTCACTTTGTTAAAGTTTGTTTGTTGCTTGTGCCTTTTTTCTGATGGGCAATCTTTGATGACTTGTTTGGTGTAGGATGCATGAGAATGGGGAGGTCGACATGCGCGGATGTTATACAGCTTTGGCGGTGAGTGAGACCGGACAAACATCTTTTCCTTGACTTGAAACATGCTATCAATATTATGTACCATAGGGGTATTAAACCACCAATACACGGCCCCAACCTTGCTGGGAAAAGCAACTCGTCGCCTAAAAAAATTTTGGAGGCCCGGTGTACTGGGCCACAATGGCTGGCGGGCTCAGCTGAAAAAGAAACGAAGTGTGCTGTTGGCAGTTCGGAAAAAAGGCTTGGCACACAGTAAGGCACCTGCAGGCCCGGGTGTACTGGTGATTTAATAGATAATATAGTATGCATACCAACGGGCCTATCTCAGTTGGTACATCCACGAACTTTTGAAATACAGATTCGAGTTCGAATCCAGATACAATCAGATGAACAGAACAGAATCGTTCTGAATGTCCTGGGGGCGATCAGTTCGATGATGATATCTCCAGGCCGTCACCCTTTAAAAGGAAGAAGATAGTGGAGTATATACATGACCAGGGGCGAACAACGGACTCCATTCTATGTGCTGTCAAGTGGGTGCTTTTTGCAGGACTTGATAGGGAATGCACTTTGTGGTCTGAGGCTTGCCGGCAAACGAAAGGGGAGGGGCAATGGAGACAAGGGAATGCTCATAGTAGTGTAGGGGATTGACTTGACAGGACCTGGCCACGATTCGGGTTAGATACGTCCAGGGGAGTGCCAATATGATTATGCCTGAAGAGGAATTGATCAATTTTTTTTCCAGTTAAAGGCAGGAAAGGAAGCTCCGAGGCCCGGGAGGGTCAGGGCTCTTCAAGCTGAGGCTAGGCTTGGTGGAGTCGGGCAAGGATTTGGTTATGGGTTGTAGGTCTGGAGGCCCGGTTAATATGATCTTGGGGGGGATTTTTGTTCGACTACTCACATTGTTGATGCTGCGTTGCATTTGGTTAATTGCAGTTTTGGCCCTTGTGGGTGTATTTTTTTGTTTGATTGATCGTGTTGGTGTGTCGAATGTGGTCCAGTGCAGTTTCTCTGTAACTGAAGCTGGTGAACTGTTCACCCACCTTGTGTGTGCTTGAATGGCACACAAAAGCAACTGTTTGTTGACCTTTTGGTGAAAAAAAAAATGAGTTCGAGACTTTGGATTTCATCAAGCCCCTACTCCGATGTGGGTACAACTCTTCCTGTTAAAAGATGAAAAGAAGCCGGATCTCCCGGCACCGCATTCTTTCAAATATCATCAGGATGTTTCTGCACTCTGTAAGTCTACAATAGGATTGAAAACGTGTTGCACACACCGCTTGGTGCATACACAGGCCTGTTGGAATTTTTAAACAACAGGAATTTGTTTGCTTGCAATCGGTTTTGTTGGACAATAGGAGTTTGTTTGCGTGCACACAGTTGCGTTCGCGGGACTCGTATACAGATGCCTTGGCAAGAACTGAAACACGATTACTCAACAATGATAACATCTATTTGAGTCATCTCCCTTATGTTTGTTTTCTCTTTTGTTGCTGCTTGCTACGGATAGACGCCTTCCAGTGTATATCCCTGAAAAATTGGCTTTTGAAGGCGAAACCGGAAATTGGGTTTTGAAGGTGAAATCGTGGCTGCTGCTGTTCTCTCATCTGATGGAGTTTGGAAGGCAATAAAACAGCGACTGCTGCTGCTAGCCTCTCCTCTGACTGTTCTGCTTTTATGTGTGCATGTTTTTTTTCGCGGTTAGGGCATACTCACACTAACCCTTTCCTGTCTGAAGCGAGTATCTTACACTGGCACTTTTATGACTCAATTTAGTTGCAATGCTGGACGCACACACACACACACACACACACACACACACACACACACACACACACACACACAGAGAGAGAGACAGAGAGAGAGAGAGAGAGAGAGGGAGAGAGAGAGTGTTGCCAGTGTGAGTGTGCCCTTCCACGTCCTTTTGGTTGAAACGCTTGACACTGGTTTCCCTGTGTAACAGGTTGCCCACATGCTGAACATAACAACTCCTGAATTGAAAAGCAATGTGGCGGAGTACATTTCCAGGTCAGCAGCTCTTTGGGCTTCAGCAATGCTATTTGCCAGAGATTTTATAATACTGTGTTCCTCCCCCTTTTTTTTTACCTCTGCAGTTTTTCTAATCGTATGAAGATGTACTTGTGATTCGTTTGCAGTCTGATGGGTCGGGATGTTTGAAGGTCTTGCAGCCACCCCCAAGAGCTTCATTGGCTTTTTAAACTTCTTTGCTTTTTCTGGTTATATGAACTTATATCTCAGTTATAATGTATTGTCTTTTTTTTAAGGAATGTTGGAACTCTATTAATCATGAAAGCAAGAGGCCAGGAAACCTCACAAACAACCCGGAGGTTGTATGTCTTCTAGGCTTGATCAATGTTTCTTTGTTGGGGAAGAAAGGTGATATCCTATGGATTCAGTTATAATGTATTGTTTTTTTTTTTTTTTTTTTTTTTTTTTTTTAAGGAATGTTGGAACTTTATTAATCATGAAAGCAAGAGGCCAGGAAACCTCACAAACAACCCGGAGGTTGTATGTCTTTTAGGCTTGATCAATGTTTCTTTGTTGGGGAAGAAAGGTGATATCCTATGGATTCCTTGCCTTCGAAAGTTCTCCACACTGCTGCATCTGTTGCAAGTTGGAGTTCTGCAGATTTCCATGCCGCATCACGGCATGGTTAAACCACGATTACCTTTTTACGGCATGGTTCAACCACGATTACCTTTTCACGGCATGGTTAAACCACGATTACCTTTTCACGGCATGGTTAAACCACCATTACCTTTTCAGGTAATGGTGGTTTAACCAGTGACAAGTTGAGCCAACCTCTTGGGACTGGGCAGAATTTGTGGTGCCCTGTGAACCTCCTCAAAAAGAGGTGAGGCCGCTATTCAGCATGGCGAGCAGAGCACACACACACACACATTTATGTGCAATGTGTCGCCAAACAGTCACACATAATGCAATTTGTGTTATATTATGTAATGTGTGACGTTGTGACTCGTGAGCTTTGAAGTTGCACGTTTCGTGTAATGTATGGCGCCGAGCGTGTGCACACGATGTAGCTGTACTGTGGTATGGATTCTTTCTTTTTTTTTTCCCCTCCATGTTTTAGGATTTAACCTTAAGTTAAAACCGATTCCCTCCATACATCTTCCTCCACCTGTCATTCTTTCTTTCTTTCTTTCTTTCTCTTTTTTTCTGGTATGGATTCTGTCTTATGACAGCTGAATCCAAAATTTCTGCAGCAGAATGAACAGATTGGCTGGCTTGATATTGCAATCCAAGCAAAGACTCAGAGAAGAGCTGAGAGAGGAATAAGGATGCAGTCCATGTTTCATTGATTGATTGATTGAAATATCTTTCAAAATGACCCTCAGGATATAGTCCTTGCCACTAGCCATTTAGTGTTGGTCCTTGGCCTACGACTCTACACCCGGTGTTTTTTGGCGGTGATTCGACGAGGGACCTTGCTAATGCGATAAATGTCTAATGTATAACTTGCTCGTTTTCTGTCTGGGGTTTGTTGTCACGTGTTTTTGAGGATGAGGTAATTTATTTTCTGTGGATGGCACAACCCAATTTGTGAAGTACAGAGCTGGAAAACAAAAAGATGGGGATTCATTCGGGATACGAAATGTAGTTTGAACTTTGAAGTTCGGACTCGGGTGTGTAACAAGATGTTTTTTTTTTTTTTTCCCTGTTTTTTTTTTCGGAGAGTTGAAAATGTCGAGTTAACATTTCCGTTGACGCAACACAGTCGTGTCACATAATTTATGAAGGATATGGAGGTCTGGAACGATATTTTTACAATAGATGGCAAGCGCCATCTTGTCCGGTTTGGCTCATTTGAAAGGATTTCATGCCACGGTCGGTGTTCTGAGTTTCAGCCCCAAAGTCCCAACGGTCGCAGTTGGGCGGAAGTAGGGATTCGGCAGGCCCAGCGGCCAAAGTGCCGGCGTAGGTCGGCAGAAGTCTGGTAGGGTGACAGGAAGTTTAGGGTCGTTGGAGGTTAGGTAGGCCCTGTACCCAACAAGAAAAGCCCAGAGTCCCAGTCCTAATCTAGCAGCAGCATCCTGGGAAAGTCCTGTGGGTTCCGGAATTTGCAAAAGTGCAGCGGACAGGCCCTGGGAGACGGTTACTGATTGGGAGCCGACAAAGACCTGAACCCAACTGCTATTCATAGAGCTACATTGCTCTGAAGAGGTCGCTTGTCAATGCGAGTGTTGCGGAAGCTCTGCTGACCGCTTGCACGGCCATACAGGCAAGAGGGGAGTGCATTCGGAGAGAGAGAGAGAGAGAGAGAGAGAGAGAGAGAGAGAGAGAGAGAGAGAGAGAGAGAGAGAGAGAGTGAGCTGGTGCCATAGCCGCATGTAGTATGAACTTAGTACCTATTGTTGTTTTGGGAACAAATCCTTTGGGTTTTGGGCTAATTGCTATCTGACTGCCTTGTGTGAACTTCGGTGTGATGGATGCATGATTATTGTATTATTGCAGTCAAATTTGAGCTGGTTCATTGCACATTATTTGTCAGGGCAAGATTTGCAGAGCCCGGGAGGAATTGTTTTCGTCCACTGATTAGCAATTGCTTGTGTTATCTGTCGGTGGCATTTCTTGAGGGGGGCTGGGTTTATTCCCGGGATTGTTGGACAACGTGGAGGCAAAGGAATGTGATAAGGGGTGGGTGGGATGGGTGTGGGTGGATGTAGCTGTCAGACTTATGAGGGAGGAATTGGAGGTGAACCTGGAAATGAAGCCCATGGAGGGTAAGAAATTTCGAGCATCTATCTATGGCTTGCTAAGATACCCAGCGTGATGAATGTTAATGCATTTGATATACCCCCCGCCACCTGCCCCCCACCCCCTCTCCCCTTTTGTACATTGAGGGCTCTACCCTTGCCCCCCACCCCCTCTCCCCTTCTATACATTGAGTGCCCTACCCTTCTCCCCGCCTCCTCGGCCCCCACCCCCTCTCCCTTTCTATACATTGAGTGCTCCTCCTATTTCTGAAGGTTTCCAGTATATTCTTTCTGTCTTAAACTACCATTACCTGTGATAGGTTGACTATTTGGTCATCATTGGAGACGCGAGGAGGTGGTGGGTCACCATTGGGGAAAAGTTTGAGGGAAGCTCTTTTGTGTTCGCTTTGAAAAAGCGTCTCGTCAGTCTCTTTTTTGCGCTGTCGATAAACATTACTGTGCTCTTCTGTCACAGTTGTGAGATTCTGATCTTTTCGGTGCTGAGTGGGTGTGTTTGGGGAGTTTGGTTCAAGAACCAGGTGTCATGTGTGCTCAGGATAATGCCGTCCATGATCTTTTCGGTGCTGAGTGGGTGTGTTTGGGTGGATGGGTTGGGGGGTGGTGGTGGGGGGGGGTCAATAGCCAGGTCTCATGTTTGCTCAGGAGATGCCCTCCATGGAAACGGGAAATCGCTTTGAGAGTGAGTTGTGGTTGGTGTTCAACTTCACGTCAAAGAAATAGTTTTTATGTAAGACCTTTTGGTTGGGACTTGGAAGTACAAAACCACTCCGGTCTTCTTGGCAGTTTATAACCCCTAGCGTCCTGATGGGAGTTTGACACTACGATTTTTCCGTCTGTCGGGGCGAAGTGAATTTGAACATGACTCCAAGGCAAAAGTTGCTTGTATTGTTGGTTTACATGACATATATATTTTTTTCAGATTTTTCTGAGACTTTCATTTTTATTTTTATTTTGTATGTTCGCGTTCGGAGGGTTTTGGGCACCAGTTCACGTTCGGGCGAACATGCTTGGGTTCGCCTCTGAACGCCAACACGATGCTACGCAGGAAAAACAAGTCGAAACTTGAAAATTGAAACAACTATAGGGAAGTCGGTGATGTCTTGGCTGAGTCATAGGGAGAGAGGACTGAAGAATGACAAACCTGTTTCTTTTCCCTCACACTTTTATTTCTGTGAACGGGTAGCAGGCTGGCCAATTCTTGTTTTATGCAAAGTTCTTAATTGTTGGCTATTGTGTAACTTGGTATTGTGAAGCATGACAAGCCAGGTGAGAAATGAACAGGCTGCTCTTTTTTTTTTTGCCTTCCACCTTTTCCCTCAGTTTTGTCTCTCTGCATGAGTAACAAGCCGTAGAACTCGTGTTTTGAGCACAAGTGGTGGGCTGAATGTTTTTGTTTGTATTGCAAACAATTCGAATGCCAGCTGTGTAGAATCTCAGTTGACTTCTAATGCTGTTTTCTCTACCTTTCCCTCCCCACTGCAGAAACTCGATGTGGCACTTAAACATGGCCCTAAGCATGTGCATATGTGGCGTGGTGTGGTGGCCATGCTTGCACGTCTGCAGGTATACGTTCTGTGGTTTTGCAGCTTTGATGCTTGCTGATGCAGTGCATGCTGTGGATCTACCCAGCTTGGTGGTATGCTTCTTTTTCAATCTAGCCTTTGTCTGCCCGCCATTCTTTACTGTCTGCTGCAAACCTGCAGAGGAAGAACACCCTCAACGGCAGGAAAATGGTGCACTCTGTGTTCTCTGTATTCTCTCTCTCTCTCTCTCTCTCTATGTGTGTGTTTCGTCATGTACTCTACCCTCTCCCGTCCTAATTGCCACTCTCATCTCTGCTCTCCTCGTAACCTTGTCCTCTGTATGGCCTTCTTTACTGCCTCTTGTGTTTGGCGACAACCTTGTTCTACTCTCTCTCTCTCTCTCTCTCTCTCACTCTCTCGCTCTCTCTATATATATATGTGTGTGTGTGTTTCGTCGTGTTCTCTCCCCTCTCCCCTCCTAATTGCTACTCTCATCTCTGCTCTCCTCATAACCTTGTCCTCTGTATGGCCTTCTTTACTGCCTGTTGTGTTTGGCGGCAACCTTGTTCTACCATCTCTCTCTCTCTATATATATATACATATATATAATATGTGTGTGTGTGTTTCGTCGTGTACTCCACCCTCCCCTCCTAATTGCCACTCTCGTCTCCGCTCTCCTTGCAACCTTGTTCTCTGTATGGCCATCTTTACTACCTCTTGTGTTGGGAGGCAACCTGTTCTAGACCACCTGTCCTGGTTCGGGTCTCATTTGTTTGGGATGCTGAAGCCAGTACTCCATTGCTCGACTGCTTCACTGTGCGAATGTGGACTGTCTGGCAACCACTTTTGTGAAGTGAAGTGTGAAGGCCGCCGCTGAAACTTTCTTACTGGAACCTCCTCCATTTACATGCTTTGGACTCCCATTTTTACCTCTCTACCTACTGGTGTGGTTGTGGCTTTTTTTCAGGACTGGGTTGTTTTCCGTCAAGGTGCTGTTGAAGGGGGCTTCCAAGGTCGGACAAACAAGCTGGTCGATGGATGCTACTCGTACTGGCAGGTACATACCTTCTCCGTTGTTTGCAAGCTACCATCTTCCCACCAACATAACACATGCCTTGTATTTTGGAGTTTTTGAGAAAAATCGAAATTCGAATCGAACACATTTTGTATTCGAAAATAAGAGCTGCTCGAATAGAACACATATGCATTGTATTCGGATAAGATGGTAGCTTGGCGAAGAATATGCAACTGCTCTTGCCTTTTCTGTGATTGAAGTAAGCATATGTAGGTTGGGTGAAAATTTGTTATCGGTTGTCATTTATGAAACTTGGGGCATGTCAGGGCCTGCTCAGTCTTCAGATAAGGCAATGGTACTGACTGCGTGGTCTGCTGCTACGTTCACCCTCATTGGCCCGTTAGATTTACGTCTTTGGTGCGTGCTCTGTTTTTTTCTTTCTTTGTTCGTCTTTTCCTTCTGGCTTTGCAATCCAAGGGTCAGTATTGGTGATGTGTTTTGTGCTAATAGCACCGGTGGGACCTTGCTTTTCTAAGTGTACACATACTCATGCTTTTCAAGTGTGCACATACCCTGGTTCATGCTTTTCTAAGTGTGCACATAACACCGGTGGGACCTTGCCTTAGACCAGCAGTACACCCCGGCCTGGTGGCCTTCCACGGCGCGCCAAGCGTTTCCAAACCGCCAGCGGTGCAATTTTCTTTCTTTATCGGCTGGTGCCACTAGACATTGTGGTCCACCAGCCCTGAGCCTCTGAAATTTTCGTAGCCGATGAAAGATTTTCTCCACAAGGCTGGGGCCATGTAGTAAGCCTGAAGTTTCAGTCATCTGGATCAAGCACGGTCTTTAATGCACTGTCAGCAATCATGTTGTGAACCATCCACCTGACGAGCGACTTTGTGTTCCGTGTGCAGGGCACACTCTTTCTTCTCTTGCAGAGAGTCATACACCAGCCTTTGGCTGATCAACGGGTGAATAAACCAAGTGGCCTGGATGTGAAAATGGAGCCTCCGCTAGTGTTTGAAACGCCTTGCGGATCTCCGAATATCCCTATGGAAAGTGAACTGGGAACGGATGTCAATGTGGACAGCATGCAGGGCCTCGGTGAGCAAAGCTGCTCGAGTAGAGAAGAGGAAGATGTGCAATTGACGATGGATGAAGCCGGGGGAAAGGGGAAAAGAGCTGTTGAGGAGGAGGAGGAGGAGAGGGGGGGCGAGCGTGAGGCTTTAGGAGATGATGAGAAGACACGAAAAGGTTGTGGGACCCTCATAGTAGAGGAGGAGGAGGGGGGAAGCTCTGCGACCATGAGGGATGTTGGAGATGGGCAGGGGGATAAAGATAAGGACCTGCCAGAAATGGGCAGTTATGAAGAGGAAGAGAGTGCTTGGGTTCAGAAGACCACTCCGAGCGAGGAGGAGGTTGACTATGATGGCGAGACCTGGATGGATGACAGTGACATTGAAGAAGCGCGGCGACGACGGTTCAACGCGATACCGCTTGTGAAGGCAGAGGATTTGTTTGCTAGCTACCATGGGTTTGATAGATTGGCTGAGGGTGGGTGCTGGTTAGGAGGGGATGAGTGTGTCTGGGGTGAGGCATCTTTGGACGAAGTGGATGGTAAAGATGTATTGCAAAGACCAGAGAAAGTACAAGGAACTTTCGACACAGATGGAGGAAATGACAGGGGAAAGTTCGAAGAAGAAACGGAGGAAAGCGAAGCGAATGCTTCATGCCAGGTTGACAGAAATGGGAATGGAACTGGAGGGGTCTCAGGAGCAGGGGGGCAAATGGATGGCGAGGGCCTGGGAGCAGATGTATTCTCCATTGCACTCTTTAACACCCGTGCGCTTCAGGGATATGTGCTGATTTGCTGTCAGGTGAGAGCATGTTCTCTAGGTGTCGTTCATTGTCTGGCCGTCTTTGAGGTCGCTCCGTTGTTCTTGAATATCAACAAGCATCGAGTAGTATCATGATGACCTCACAAACCTCCAGTGGTACCCCCTGGAGTTTCTTTTGTTGAGAATGAGCTGGCAGCCCCTGGCTGGGCAAACTTGGGAACAGTTGGCGATGCCAATATCAGCGCACATCATCTGTGAAACAGACAATTATCCCCGGTGTTTGCCCCCGCCGTCCCCTCCCATCCCCGCGCTTCTGAACCTCAGACCGCTACTACCTCCGACCCTCTTTTTACCGAGGCGGATTCCCCGGCGTTTTCCCCCCGTTGCGCTGGGGCTTCTCGGAAACCTGCTGGGACCTTGCCTGGCCGGACATCCCTGTAATCCAAAGGCAGCCTGGGCGAACGGTGTCTCCAGGAAACCAAGTGAAAAAGCCTAGGCTACCAGTTGCTCGATGGCAGAACGTCCTGGCCGGACAGGCAGGGGAGTCCTGGACGTCCGGGCTTGGACAAGTCCATTTTCAGCAGTTTAAAGCACGAAAAAAGGGGGGGGGGAAATGGGGGTGTTCCCATGGCCACCTGTAGCACTCTTGGTGCCAACAACCGAGATAGTCAGCTGGATCCTCCCAGTCGGTATCAGTAAGGTCTTCAGCCAACACGGGTGTGAGTGCGTGTGTGAGTGGGTTGAGTGTGGTGTGTGGGAGAGTGTTGGCTTTAGACACTACTGTTACTCGATGGGGGTGGGGGAAGATGAATAGGGAGGCACAGTTACCGGCAAAATGCTCGGTCCTTGTGTTAGCCGGGCCCCCACCGGCGGCCCCAACCCTGCACCCTAAAACGCTAGGGCAAGGGGCAAACATGCCCTTACCCCTCTCCAACGAACGAGAGAGGTAACCTTCCTTCACCGAAGAGAGGTAGAAAGCTATGCTTGCAGGGGTCCCCTGTACAGCCTTAGGAGTAGTGGTAGGTAGTGAAAAGAAAGATATGTTCCATGACATGGCAGAACGCCAGTTAAAAGAAAGATATGTGAGGTGAGAGAAAAATATATGGCTGTCCCCCGATGAGGAGAAGGCAGCTTTAAAAAAAAAATTTAAAAATATATATATGAGTCGGTGAAACTCCGACGAAACAGTTTGTCACAGCCCCTCGTTTGTTGTCCTCTTCTCCCTCTCTGCCTACGGTTTACCGGGCAGTTCTA